AATATATTCCCCTAGTCTTTTTTTCTTGTCTGGAAAGCTTTTTATTTGACCTTCAATTTTGAATGATAGCCTTGCTGGATAGAGGAGTGTTGGATTCAGATCCTTGTTTTTAATGACCTTGATTACTTCATGCCACTCCCTTCTGGCCTGTAGTGTTTCTGCTGAGAAGTCAGTTGAGAGCCTTATGGGGTTTCCTTTTTAGGTAACCTGTTGCTTATCTCTTGCTGCCTTTAGGATTCTCTTTTTGTCTTTAATTTTTGGCATTTTAATTACTATGTGTCTTGGTGTGGGCCTGTTTGTGTTCTTACTTGGGGCTCTCTGTGCTTCTTGAATCTGAATGACTTCGTGCTTCACCAAGTTAGGAACGCTTTTTGTCACTATTTCTTCAAATATATTCTCTAATCCTTGCCCATTTATTTCCTCTTTGGGAACTTCTATAATGTGAATGTTATTATGTTTCCAGTTGTCCCACAGTTCTCTTATGCTATCTTCCTGTTTTTTAATTGTTTTTTCCTTTTGGTTTTCTGATTGGTTGATTTTTCTACCCTGTCTTCTAATTCACTGATCTGGTCCTCAGCTTCCTTTACTCTGCTGTTTAGTCCTTCCAATGTGTTCTTAATTTCTGCCATGTCATTCTTCATTTCCACTTTGTTGGTTTTCAATGTTTCTATACCTTTATTCATGGTGCTGATGTCCTTACTCATGCTGTTGAGCTTTCTCAACATCATGGTTCTGAACGCTTCCTCTGCTAATTTTCTTAGCTGCATTTCATTGATCTCATCTTCGATAGAGTTCTGTTGTTCTTTCATTTGGGATTTGTTTTTTTGTTTCACAGTTTTGGGTATCTCAGTGGGTTTTGAAACCCGCCCAATTTTCCCTGTGGGTGTTGGTGTTCTGCTGTTTGTGGCTCCCTCTACTGGGTTTAGATGAGCCTGGGTGGGCCCACATTAAACATCACTGTCAAGTCTTACTTTCCTGGGTAGATTTGCCAGCACAGGAAAGGTTCAGTTATCCTCTAGCTTTTTTCTGGTGGCTGGTAGTCTCAGTTACTCAGTGCCTTTGAATGTAGCCCTGGTGTTCTGCATAAGAGATTTACAGAGGGTGGGATAAATACTCATTATTATTATTATTATTTTTTTATCCTCACCCGAGGATATTTTTCCATTTTTTGTACAGATAGAGTGGGAGGGAGAGAGAGGAAGGAGAGAGAGAGAGAAACATCGACATGAAGGGACACATCGAGTGGCTGCCACCGCACGACCAACCAGGGCCGGGGACAAACTGCAACCGAAGTACGTGCCCTTAGTGGGAACTGAACCCGGGTCTCTCCGGACCGCAGGCCGACGCTCTAACCGCTGAGCCTAACTGGCCAGGGCTAAATACTTATTATTAATGAGCCTCAATTTGCATTTCTTTGCCTCACCTGGGAAAGGCTGAATCTCCAAGGGGTGGGGCTGCTGCTTTTCCCCACAGCACACTGGCCACCATCCTTTGTGGCCGAAACTCAGCAAAAACTCTGAGTGCCCTCCAAATCTCAGGTGTCCCCACAGAGTTTGAACCCAGTTTGCCCTCTCTCTGCCATAGCTCTCAGGTGAGTGGCCGTGGCTCATTTAGCACTCTATCTTGGCTCTCTGTGCTGTGGAGTGGGCTTGGTGTTTATTCACCAAGGGCTCTGCTCACAGCTAAGAGTACTGCTGTCCGTGGATTCCAGCCCGCCACCCTCTGGCACCTCCCCAGATCCTACCAGTGTTCCTGGTTACATGATCTTGTCCTGCTGCTTTTCTGTTGCTTTTTTTCAAGGATTTGTCTTTATTTTAGTTGTAATTCCAGTTTGGTCCTGGGAGATCGTCTGCGTAGCTTCTATTTATTCTGCCTCCATTTTTACATCCTCTATGCCTATCTTGTGTGCAGCTGGATTGCACAGACCTTCCTGGTGCCACTGCACCCTGCAGGTCCCGTGGGTAACTGGATCGCACAGTCCCTTTGGGGATCCGGCTCTATTCCTATGTTATGGGCTTCTGGGTCTCACAGGCCCCTCTGGTGCTTCAGCACCCCACAGGTCCCACGGGTCACTGGATGGCACAGTCCCAGCTGGGTCACGCAGGCCTTTCTGGTGCTTCAGCACCCCACAGGCCCCATGGGTAAGTAGATCGTCCAGTCCCTGCTGGGTTGCACAGGCCTCTCTGGTACTTCAGCACCCTGCAGGTCCCTCGGGTAACTGGATGGCACAGTCTCTGCTGGTCTCACATGCCTGTCTGGTGCTTTAGCACCCCACAGGTCTCGTGGGTAATTGGATGGCAAAATCCCTGCTGGGTCACACAGGCCTCTCTGGTGTTTCAGCACCACACAGGCCCCATGGGTTACTAGATTGCACAGTCTGTGCTGGGTCGCATGGGCCTCTTTGGTGCTTCAGCACCCTGGAGGTCCCACAGGTAACTGGATAGCACAGTTCCTGCTGGGTCACACAGGCCTCTCTGGTGCTCCCACATCCTGCCATTCCTGCAGGCAGACAGCTGGATCGCAACAGTCTCTTGGGCTCTGGCTTCCCACTGCTCTTGTGAGCTCCTGGACCGCATAGGCCTCTGTGGCGCCCCAGGTCCTGCCACGGGCGGCTGGGGAGTGGTGCTGCCCCATGGGGCTCAACTCCTAAGTTTTTACTGTAGTTTTGGGGGTTGGGTATCAGCTGCTGGTCTGTGCTTCTGTTGCCTGGGGATGGATGTCTGCTCCCCAGCCTCTTTTGCTGGGGGTATATCAGGACACTGATTGTGCTGCTACTATGGGGGATGGTGCTGGGCTCCCAGCTGTCTGTGGTTTCCACAACTGGCACCTTGGCAGCTCCACTACTGTGCACTGGTCTGTGTTGACACAGAGTGTCCACTGGTCCGATGGTGCCAGGTACACTGGTGGGTTCATGTTGCTGGGCCCTAGCTGCTCCCACTGCCTCCTCCCAGGGAAGACCCAGGATCTTCCAAAATGGTGGGACCTCCCCACGGCACAGGGAGAAGAGCCCTGAAGGGCTGCTTACCATGGTAGCCGGCTGCTCCGTCCACAGCACAGGAACCTTCTGCTCTGAGTCTCTGAACTGCTTGGGTTTGGTCGTCCACCTTTAGATCCACTCATACTCTCTCACACACTCGCTCACTCTCTCACATACTCACCCTCCCTCTGGTCCTGCCCACCACCATCTCTGCACTTTATAGATGTTTCCCTCTCTCTCCCCCTCTCCTTTTCTCTCTCTCTAAAAACCAAAAAGAAAAAAATTTAAAAAAGAAAAGACTCCAATTAGGTAGCCATGTATAGGTAGGTTAGGGATATGTGGATAAGCTGTTTCTTGATATTTCTATCAAGGTGAGAAGCCCAGAAGCCATCCACAGCAATAAAGTAGGAGATGCTCAGAACGTGGAAGCAAAATAAGGTGAAATACATGAATCTTGTGTCTTACCCAGCCCTAAGTAAAAAGACTCAGAGTTGATCACATAAAGCATTTATAGAAATGAAATTGGAAGGACACAAGGAACTTACCAAATGGGGTTGAAAAATGGATCAAAATAATATATTGGACTTTTAGTTTAATAATCTTATATAATCTTTGCAGGGGATCATTAGAAATAAAACAGACAGGAATTATCCACACCTCTGAGTCACTTAAGAAATGTCTTGGGGTATGAATGCAGTATTTTGAGCTAAGCATAGCTCTGAGAGGCAGCTTCTGTGCCGTGGGCAGGCTGCCGATGGGTCAGGACAGGCTTTTTCTTTCTCTAGCCTGTTACTTTCCCATTCAGGCCACAGCGTTAAGCCTTTTTGATCAACTTTTGTGTTGCACAATACAACTCATTTGTGTTTCTTTGTATTTTTCAGTCTCTTCTTTCCCTTTCCCTGTTCCTTGTTGTTATTTCTATTTTTGACTTTTTATGTCAGTACTGAATGACCTTTTTTTGGCCAATAAATCATTAAGACATTTATAAGAAAAATGTCCTCTGCCTACACTTTTTGTTAATTATGGAAAATTACTGTTTTTAAAATGTCATGAATAACCTAAGGGCATAATGAATAATGAAAAGAAATGAATATTAAGTCATCCAAAGTTAGATATAATTCTCTCAAAGAACATACATAATCACATAGCAGCAATAAAGGAGAAAGAAAAACCCATTGGATGGGCCGGGGCAGAAGGACTAGAGGTGGAAGAATTTTTACAGATTTTTTCCAAGCAAAACACAAACGTTTTAGTGGGCTTTGGCCAGGAGTCATTGATTGTGGTTGTTAATGTTATCCTGCTTAGGACAAAAGCAACGCCACCTTTGTATTTATATCAGTGGTAATTATAGTCTTATACAAGCTAGAGATTTTTGGCAGGAGGTAAGCCTACTTCATTTACCCTTTTCTCTCAGCCTCTAAAGACACTGTCATCTTTTGAAATCTCTTAAAATCTACTTTAAAAATTGCCTTCTTGAGTTTAATATATTCTCTTTGTCCTAAATGCCTTCTATTTTCTCTTCTCTTCTTTTTCTCTTTCCCTGGAGTCATTGCTGGTATATTTAATAGTTTTTGATAACTACTCAAATTAACCAGTCCCAGGATATCACGTTTTTTATAAAAATGTTTTCATTGATTTTTTAGGGGGAGAGAGAGATAGAAACATCAATGTGATAGAGAAACACTGATTGACTGCCTCCTGCACACCCCCCTACTGGGGATTGAGCCCCAAAACTGGGCATGTGCCCTGACCGGGAATCAAACTGGGACCTCTCAGTTCATGGGACAATGCTCAATCCACTGAGACACACTGGTTGGGTTGGATATCACTTTTTTCATCTTTCATCTTTCAGTTAGAAGTCCTCATTCAATTTAGGAATCACCAGTGAGCTATGACTTTTTGTTAAGTACGTACATTAGACCATGGCCATGCCTCGGTAGAGTTAAAAATAGTGTAAAAAATGTTTCTCAGATTACTTGGGACATCTGTGGGTACTAGAATTAAGAAACAGAGAAAAACTTACCTATGATCAGGGAAGATGATGCTAGGAAAGAAACCGACACAGCGCATTAGAATGCTTTTCAGTCTCAGTATGTAGTTCTTACTCATGGTGTTTGCAGAAGCACATCAGAAATGAGACCTTCAGAGAGGACCAACCCTCCATTTTCCCCAGGAGCAGTAAGACGTAAGAAGTCAATTTCCCTTACTTTCCTGTGTTTCACAATATGGTGGGTCTGGATATGTGATGCATGGAGTGTGGAAAGACCATTTTAGAACTTTATTTATTTTTAGTCCACAGCATTGAAATCTTTCAGTGATTTTTGTTTTGTTTTAATGTAATATTTGTTTGTTTTATTTGTCTGTCCTTGCTTATTTTTTTTCTAATATGGACTGATTTCCCATTATGGGTAAGCATTTAAACATTTACCAAAAGAGTTTCCCTCTGTTTGCTGTTTTTGTTTTTCCTATAACACCATTAACAAGTTGACAATGAGCAAACAAGGGGAGGTATAGGTATTGGATTTCTACAGTGTTAGCAATGATGGTACCCTTTAGGAACTATGAAAGAAAAACAAAATTGTAGGTTAGAGGAAAATAATGGGAATGATGTGAGTGCCTGGTTAGAATTTTACTTCATATTTTTGTAAAATAAAAACACAAGGGTGCCCGACTGGTGTGGGTCAGTGGGTTGAGCATTGTCCCATGGACTGAGAGGTCCTGGTTTGATTCCCGGTCAGGGCACGTGCCTGTGTTGCAGGCTTGATCCCCAGTAGAGGGTGTGCAGGAGCTGATCCATGTATCTCTCTCATATCAATGTTTCTCTCTCCCTCTCCCTTCCTTTCTTTCTAAAAAAATCAATAAAAATATTAAAAGCAAACAAACAAACAAACAAAACAGAAAACACACACAAGGGTGACTTCAGGGTGGTTATAGAGATGTTCCTCTTAGGAGAGCGACTCCAGCCCTCTGTGTGTCTGTGGAGCTATAGCCATGTCACAGGTCGTCTTAGGAGGAGGCAGAACACACAGTGATTTTTATCATCTTTTTTTCCCTCTCAGCCCCTACAAGAAATGCAAACCTATCAGAGACTGTTACGGTCTCTCCTTTTGAAAAATCTGCTGTGCTGAACTTTATGCATCCCCCTTACTTCCTGATTCCCTGGCATCCTCTGTTGCCCCTGAAACTCAGGTTGTGAACTTTGTAGTTTCTGCTTACAACTTACTAGACGCAGTCCCAGAAGATTACTTTCTTATGCTTTACTCTTAGGTAGGCAAGTTCTCTGTTTTCAGGCTTAATCAAGAAGTTAAGGGGCTTTTGGGTAAATAGCCAAAAATGAAAATAGTGAGTGTAAAAAATATTCCCAGTTCTCTTGGGAGACGTGTTTGAAGATGCTAGAACTGAGAATTAAAAAACTTACCAGTGGATACTGAAAGTTCTGTGGAAGGAAAACCCAGAATAATAAATTAATTTTTGGTTGAACAACCTAATTCATCTAAAGTATTTGCTGTAAGCTTCTGATATTTGACTTTTAAGAAGAACCAATCCCTCCAAGTCACTAAGTTGTACTGTACTGTGATGGGGAATTAAGAAGGTCTCTAAATGGTGTCCCATAGCCTTGATAGGGTCAGCCAACTAAAGTTGTGTGGGGTGAAGCTCTTCAAGTGTGTCTCTTCACCCCTTAGTCTAGAGGTGAAACTCTTTGGGAGATTGTTGTCGGTCACCCATTAAATACCTTCGTTCTCTAGTTCCCCTTAACTGTGCTTCCTCTTTCCTTTCCTTCACTTATGCTTCCTGTCAATAATATCCTTTAAAAACATAATCAATAACTTAACTGGACAGTGAATGAGGAGAAAAAGGGATAAATGGGAGCATCAATTTTTTTGAATATTAGAAATTGTATTTTCCTTCAGGAACTGGGAGGTGCAAAAAGCTGTATGTGTGGTTACTACTAGATCTTGCTAAAGTAGAAAAATTAATGTGGTAGTATATGAGCAGCAACATGGAATATGGTCTTACTACTGTTTTTATCCAAAGGGAGCCTCCACCCCCTCCTGCCTGTGTGTGTGCCTTAGTCGTGTTCCTTATAGCACTTTAGAAGAGGAAATGGAGGGGGACATGCTCAGTCTTCGCCTTTCCATCACTTTCTACTAGAATTAGAAACTTATCAGAACCCGTTAAGAGCTTTATTTAAACTTGCTGCCTTGAATTAATGAATCCTCTTTAAATTTTAAGTTTCTTTATGTACCCACCCCCTCAATTTTCTACTATTACTATAAACTCTGGTGTTAAATTGATTAGTTTTAGCTAATGACTCATTTTACATCACAGTAAATCAATTCTACCCTTTAGGGAATGCTCTTCCTTTCAGAATTCATCAGTAAATGAAGGAGTTGAGGGTGGGGGTAGGAAGGCAATAAATTTCAAGGTTTAAGAAAGCTAGAGGTAAAAACAGTGATTACAGAAGATGATGGGAGAGCTATGAACAGTGCAAATGACAACAATTAACTTACCAATGGACTCCAAGGAAGCTGGAGGAAAAAAAACCCCCCAAAACAGATACACACACACACACACACACACACACACACACACACACACAGAGAAAGAACAAAAGTATAAGTTAGTGTTTTGGGTCAAGAATCTAGTTCATCCTCTCAGATAGTATCAGAAATGAAACTGTTAGATAACACCTAACCCTTTATTTTTTTCAGTCACAGTAAGATGGTGTAATGTTCTTGATGTTTATGTTGCCCCAATTCACATGTTGAACCCTAACTCCAAATATAATGGTGTTTGGAGGTGGAGGAGGAGGTAATTAGGTTATGAGGGTGGAGTCCTCATAAATGGTGTTAGTGCTCTTATAAAAGGGACTCCAGACAGCTCTCTGGCCTTCTTTCTGTATACAACAAGGAGATGGCACTGTGTAACCTGGAAGAGGGTTTTCACCAGAACCTTGATATTGGAGGGAAGTATGCCTCATCTCTCCCCTTTGCTAGTGGGAGTAAGGTTCTTGGGGTATTGCTGGAATAAACATTTCCAGAGGTTCCCAAAGGAAGATGAGATATGGTAGAAAACTTTATTTTCATGGAATTATACCCCTGGGTTTCTAAAATCCCATTTCCCTTAGTCCACTCAGAGCAGCGTAGCTGCTGTTTCAGTAAAGCTAGAAGCAAAGCCAATGTCCAGAGTTTCCTTTCCATATTGGAGCTTGGTTTAGTTCAGCACCAGTCTAGTTACAGTCCATTAGTCCATTGTGTGTGGGGTCTGCATAGCCATGGGCCATGAGGGCAAATGCAAGGAAGCAGGAGAGAGAGAGAGAGAGAGAGAGAGAGAGAGAGAGAGAGAGAGAGAGTCCTACAGCCCAGTGTCACACAAATCCCAAGAGAGTCAAGAGCATAAGAGAGTGAACTCCTTTGTTTAGGGGGTTATGTATCTCAAATCTTCATGTCCTTGCAGTGGCCACATCCATTCTTGCCAACCATCTCTGCCCCCAGGTGTGACTGACAGGCAAATACCTTTCCTATGTCATCCCAACTTTACTGGGCATGCGTCTATCTTCCCTTTGCTGGATCCCTCCCCCAGTGTTTTTCAGAGAACATGCCTATAATGTCTGATCTTCCCTTTGCTCCTTTACTATGAATAATAACTAGGTTAATTACAGCAATATCAACCTGACTGTGCTCACCCTGATCTCAGACTTCCAGCCTTCAGAACTGTAAGAAATAAATTTCTATTGTGTGTAAGCCATACCGACCTGCCTACACATCCCAACATCCCTCACCAGGCCTAGAACTACCAGATGGCTAAAATGGTGAGACAGAGAAACAAACCCAAATGAAAGAAAAGGAGGCATCTCTGGAAAAGGAACTACATAAAATAGAAGAAAGCAATTTGTCAGATAAAAAAGTCAAAGCAATGATTTTTAAGAGTGCTCAAAAATTTAGTGAGAACAACAAGCATCGTAATGAGAATTATAAAGAGCTCAATGGGAAATACATTAGCTTAAAAAAAGAGGTAGAAGCTATGAGTAAAAATCAAGAGGAAATAACGAATGATATAGCTGTTATAAAAAATACCTTAGACAGATTCAATAGTAGATTAGAAGAAGCTGAAGACGGAATAAACAAGTAAGAAGACAAGGTAAGAAAAAATGCCCAAATGGGAAAAAAATTAAAGAGCAGAAGAGTTTAAGGAAGCTTTGGACAGTACAAAAATCTAGCAACATTTGCATCATAGGGGTACCGGAAGGAGAAGAATCCAAGAAAGGAATAGAGAACCTGTTTGAAGAAACAATGACAGAAAACTTTTCTAATTTGGTGAAAGAAAAAGTCACACAAGTCCAGGACACACAGAGAATGCCAAGCAAGATGAATCCCAAAAGACCCACAGCCAGACACATCATAATTAAAATGGCAAACATTAAAGACAAAGAATCTTTTTTTTTAAATCATCACCCAAGGATATTATTCTATTTTTCTTCAGATAGAGTGGGAGGGAAGGAGAGAGGGAGAAAGAGAAACATCGACGTGAGAGAAACACATCGACTGGTTGCCTCCTGCATGACCCTGACCAGGGCCAGGGACAAACCACAGCTGAGGTATGTGCCCTTGGCTAGAATCAAACCCATGACTTGGGCTGACACATGAGCCAAACCAGCCAGGGCCAAAGAAAGAATCTTAAAGGAAGCAAGAGAGAGACAAAAAGTTAGGAGCTCCCATTAGACTGTCAGCTGATTTCTCAATAGAAAAACTGCAGGCCAGAAGGGAGTGGCATGAAAAATACAAAATAATGAAAAGCAAGAGTCTGAATCCAAGACTACTCTATCCAGCAAGGCTATCATTAAAAATTGAAGGTGAAACAAAGAACTTCACAGACCAAGAAAAACTAAAGGAATTTACTACCACGAAACCAGCACTGCAAGAAATGCTAAAGGCACTGCTGTAAGAAGAAGAAGAAAGAGAGAGAGAGAGAGAGAGAGAGAGAGAGAGAGGAACACAGGCATAAAATAAAAATGGCAACTAATAAATAGCTATCAATAATAACCTTAAATGTAAATGGCTTCAAGGCTCCATCAAAAGATATAGGGGAGCTGATTGGATAAGAAAACGTAACAAAAAATATATACTGTCTACAAGAGACCCACCTCACAACAAAAGACTCACACAGGATAAAAGTGAAAGGATGGAAAAATTTTTCCAGACATGTGGAAATTTAAAAAAAGCTGTTGTAGCAATATTTATATCTGATAAAATAGACTTCAAAATGTGAGCCATTATAAGGACAAAGAAGGTCACTAATAATATTAAAGGAATCAATTCAAAAAGAGGATATAACCCTAGTAAACATATATGCACCAAATACAGGAGCACCAAAATACATTAAAAAATTCTGGAGGACTTTATGGGAGAGATCAATAGCAATACAATCATAGTGGGTGACTTTAACACCCCACTAGATAGATCTTCCAGACAAAAAATTAACAGGAACACTTCAATGATGAACTAGATCAGTTGGACTTAATTGATATTTACAGAACATTTCACCTCCAAGCTGAAGAATATACATTCTCCTCAAGTGCACATGGGCCATTCTCAAAGATAGACCACATGTTAGGACACAAACTAAGTCTCTAGAAATTCAAGAAGATTAAAATCATATCAAGCATCTTCTCAGATCACAATGGCATGAAACTAGAAATCAATTACAACAAAAACACACAAAAACATTCAAACACATGAAGGCTAAATAGCATGTTATTAAACAACAAATGGGTTACCAAGGAGATCAAGGAAGAAATGATAAACTTCCTATAAACCAATGAAAATGAACAAACAACAACACAAAATCTATGGGACATAGTGAAAGCAGTTCTGTGAAGGAAGTTCATAGCACTACAGGCCTACCTCAAGAAACAAGAAAAATTCCTAATTGACTTTCTAACCCTACAACTTAAAGAACTAGAAAGTAAACAAAAAGAAAAACCCAGAGCACGTAGAAGGAAGGAAACAGTGAAGGTCAGAACAGAAATAAACGACATGGAAACTGAAAAAACAATTCAAAAGATCAATAAACAAAGAGCTGGTTCTTTGAAAAGATAAACAAAATTGATGGACACTTAGCCAGACTCACCAAGAAACAAAAAGAGAAGACCCAAATAAACAAAACCAGAAATAAAAGGGAACTAACAACTGACACCATAGAAATACAAAGGATTGTTAACAAATACTTTGAACAATTATACGGCAACAAATTGGACAATCAGGTGAAATGGACAAATTTCTAGAAACACATAGTCTCCCAAAACTGCACCGGAAAGAGATAGAAAACTCAAACAGACCAAGAAAAATGAAAATGTAACCATGAAACTCCTAGCAAACCAAAACCCAGGCCCAGACAGCTTCACAGGGGAGTTCTACTGAACGTTCAAAGAAGAACTAAC